ATAAAATGGAAAGATACAACTAGAAGGAAATATATATAGTAAGAGTTTCACCTGGTGTATGGTTATTTTAGTTTTCATTTTCTGTATGTGAAAAAAATGTCACATTTCCCTAAATTTGACTTTTAAAATGAAATTTTCATAGAACTTAAATGATTTTAAGGTTTTTTTTTAAAAAAAAGAATAATAATAATAGGGAGCTGTGGTGGCCTAGTGGCAAGCAGCCGCACTGCAATCCCAAAGGCACGCTGTTTGAGGCCTGATGTACACAACAACAGCATACTAAATAATATGCCATTCCATTAGTTTACTGTTATGAGGAGAGGTTTTAAATATTGGGGAAGGCACCTTGAAGGAACATATTCTAAAGGTGCTGCAACACTTGCTTTGAGTCTCAGGTGGTTCAATAGCACATAACAGCAACAACATGAATTATATAGCCTTTCACTTCCCTAATAAACTTCATAATTGTGAGTATAGTTCTGTGTGGTCTGTGAGCTAAAGCAGTGGATTTTGGACCCAGTGGAGCAGTAAGGTTGGTGTTAGGTTGAGTAGAAAGAGGTGTGGGAGTGTGGGTGACATGTCTGACCTCATGGGAATTGGTTTTGTGTTGTGGATGTTTTTGGTGGGACAGTTTGTCATTGTGGAGTTGGTAAAGGTTAGATATGTCTGTGCTCACATGGCTCTTGCTCTGTTTATAAGAGGTACTCTGTATTTTGCTTGTATTGGTCTTTTATACCCCTGATTAGATAGGTGCATTCCTAAATATTTCATTTGGGTAGAGATGATAAATGTTATTATTTCCATTACTCTCTTTTCAAAGTTCTTTTGATACTACAGAGAAGCACACCTGATTTCTGTGTGTTGGTCTTGCTCTGGCACTCTCCTGAACTGAGTCAGCCATGCTTCATTATGACTCTGAACAGGGGTTATGAGCCTTGGCCTGTCCTGCACCATCCTCGTGATCTCTGTCCTGCTCAAGCCCGTGTAGTGGTCACTCGATGGTATCCAACAACATTGGATTCTATAGACCAGAAATTTTATAATTTCTGCATCTCTCTTCATAAGGAATACTACTGGTCTTTGATTTTCTTTTTTAGTAGTGTATTTGTGCAGCTTTGAAGAGAGCTCTGGTGGTCTAGTAAATAGGGACTCTCACTACTATCCCAAGGGCCACCTCTCTAGTTGTTCTCATCTGCTAGTAATCCTGCAGGAGGAAGATGGGTGCTTTCCTCTGCGTTGTAGCCTCTAAAACCCAATGAAGGATCAGCTGTTAGTCAGTTCCCACTCATGTATTTATTTGATCTTCCTGCCAATTAGGCACAGAATTTAAAGGAGTAAATATCCAGTCCTACTTTAGAAATATGCATGTAAAAAATATGCTATTACACAAAAATGGAAGAGAGACTATATTGTTGTTATTGTTCGGTGCCATTGAGTTGATGTAGCAACCCTGTGAACAACAGATTGGAACCTTGCCCAGTCCTGTGTCATTGTTAGGATCTTTTACATGCTCAAGCTCATTGTTGTAGTCACTGTTGTTGCAGACTGAGGGTAAAGTACTAATGAGACAGACAGCCAAGAATGAGAGAAGAGAGAGTAAAGACAGGGGTCCAGCAGTCCTGATGACTGAAGCACCCAAGCCATGCCTCTCTGTGTATTTATTAAGAATCATCAGGAAGGTAAACAAAGGATAATCACAAGGGAGTAGAAAACAAAAACAGAAGGTCATGGGAAGTCTTTTTGTAGATAAGGTGGCATTCCTCTCTATTGTTTACCTTATACTAATCTCAGGAGAGAGGGATTCAGTAAGAACAAACTAAGAACATGTTGACTTTTAAGGAATGCCTTAGTGCCTCAGGGTGAACTCCAACTTGTATTACACCTCACTTAAATCCTGTACAGTATTTGGTTTATTATTAATATTAAATTCGATATTCAGCTTCCCACACACTGTGTCAGGCCATCTGGTTGAAAATATTTCTCTCTTTTGTTGACTCTCTACTTTCCTCCCAATATGTCTTTTTCCAAGTATTGACCCCTCCTCTTAGGATGCTAAAGTATGTGAGACAAAGTTTCACCATCCTTGCCTCTAAAAAGCCCTCTATTTGACTTCCTCCAGGACAGACTCATTTGTTTTTTGCTAGTCCATGGTATATTCAATTCTTTCCCCCAACACAATTTAAAGGCATCAATTCTTTTTCTGTTATCCTTATTTATTGGTCAGCTTTTAGATGCATAGGAAACAATTGAAACAACTATGGCTTGGGATCAGGCACACCTTAGTCTTTAAACTGACATCCTTGCTTTTGGTAGACATTGTTAACAGCCTATTTAACCAATCCAACATATCTTTTGATTTCTTGGCTGCTGTTGCCATGAGTGTTAATTGTGGATTCAAGTGAAATTAAATCATTGATAACTTTAGTTTTTTTCTCTACCTCTCACCACCTGTTGCCCAGTAATAAGGATTTTTGTTTTCTTGATGTTAGGATATTGAAAGATATACTTTCTGGTCTTCAGTAAATTCTTCAAGTCTCAAAACTTGAGACTGTACTAAACAAATGTAATAGAATTTGCAAACAGTGACTGGTATTTTGATGCTGGAGATGTAAATGTTACATGATGCCAGTCTGCCCACTGTGGAGAAAGGTGGTCAAGTTTATCAGGGGTTGCATTTTGTTAGACAAATGTAAAGAGAGAAAACTTGAGAGTGGATGATATTTGTAAGAAATTATTTATAGTGATAAATTAAGCACTTTAACATGCACAGATAAGAAACAAAGGTAGTAGGAACTTATAAGGACAAAATATTGGGGGTTCATAGACTTTTGAGGTCTCCCATTAAGATCAAAGAGTTATTATTGTGGAGATTACTAAAGAAATGGTTGAAGAAGCTATTTTCAAATTGTAAACTAGTCATTATATGTCCGCACCAGCAAGTTGATTCTGACTCATAGTCAACTCTTTTCTGTCAGAAGAGCTGTACTCCTTAGAGTTTTCAGTAGCTGATTTTTTTTCAAAAATCTGCCCCTAGACTTTTCTTCCCAGACGTCTCTGGGAATACTCAGACTGCTAGTGGTTCAGTTAGCTGTGGAGTGTGTTAACAGTTTGTATCACCTGTATTGTTCCAGTCACTAGACAGATTGTCAAGCAGCCCTTGTAGCATATGTAACATACCGGACTGATCAGGTGAGGTCTGGTGGCCTAGTGGGTGAGGAGCATCTGCGTTGATTCGAATCTGCCAGCTGCTCTGAGGGAGACAGATGGACAGTCTCCTTCCATGCGATTAATAGCCTCTAAAAACCTGCTGAGAGTCAGCTGTGTGCTCTAGCTTGATAGCATCTAGCAACCACAGCCAAAAGATTGGCAGTTCCAATCTGCTAGCAGCTCCAGGGGAAGAATGATAGGCAGTTTCTTCCCAGAAAGAGTTACAGCTGACACAGCAGCCTTAGGTTTTGAGGTTTATATGGATTAACTAAATTATTTTATCCAGTCCTCTGAGTGAGACTGTTAGTTTCTAGTTTTTCACCTGTATTTAACATTTGCCAATAAACATCCTGCAATATACATTTTTGGTTCTATTGAGTTTATGTCTTTATTTGTCATTAGAAAATAATCATACATTGTGTGAATTTACCACAACTTCTCTATCCATTCATTTGTTGATGGATACTTGGGTTGTTTCCAGCTCTTTGCTGTTGTGAACAAAGCCGCGATAAACATGGGTGTGCATATATCTGCTTGGGTGGCAGTTATGGTCTCTTTCAGATATATGCCCAGTAGTGGAATTGCTGGGTCAAATGGTATTTCTATTTCCAACTTTTTGAGAAAGCGCCATACCGCCTTCTATAGTGGTCGCACCATTTTACACTCCCACCAACAGTGAATATGGATTCCAGTTTCTCCACAACTTTGCCAATATTTGTTTGCTGTTCTGTTAAATTTTGCTATTTTTAGTGGGATGAGATGATATCTCATAGTTGTTTTGATTTGCATCTCTCTTAGTGCTAGGGATTTTGAGCATTCATATGTTTGTTTGCCATCTAAATGTCTTCTTTGGTGAAGTGTCTGTTCATATCCTGTGCCCGTTTTTCAACTGGGTTGTTCACCTTTATCTTGTTGTGGTGCTTGAATATTCTATAAATTCTAGATACAAGTCCCTTATCAGACATGTAATTACCAAATATTTTTCCCAGAAAAAAGTGAAAATAATAATTCAGTTTGATCATATTCCAAATAACCCGGAGCAGTTTGTTTATTACCTCTCTTTTGATAAAAAGAAAAGTGTTTTCTAGTAAAATGATCCATTTTCCAAACTGTTTTCCGTGAAGCTCAACAGTTTCCTCAGATAGCTTCCCCCATTTCTCTTTTTTCTGTTTCTTCTAGGAGCTCATTTGTTTGAAATATTAAGCATTTCATTATTATTTTCTTAAAGACAGGATAATATTTGTATTATTGATTAATAATATTTGAGATCAATATTTTGGCTAGAGGCCAGAACCGAAATTTCTTGACTCCTAAAAAAAAGACATCTTCTAGAATTAAAAGAAACAAAGAAGTATACAAATTGCTCAGTTTAAGCAGTTTGCATCTTGTCCTTTACATTTATATTCTCTTTTTTTTCCTTTATTTCCACTTTAACAATTGAAATGGAAACATCTTAGAAGACACTCATCATCCGTTTAACTAGTAATTAGCATTGACGAATAGAGAGAAAATTTCAGACAGCTGCCAGGTTGACCACTAATGTGAGGTACGATTTGCTGGTGTTTGTCATCTGTAGGACTTAATAATTATACTAATAGCAGTGTAGTTACACTGTCATGGAAACTTGACAGTTAACTTTTTCCACTTACCAGACTGCAGTTCTGAAAGTTATAGTTTCTCATTTCCAGGTAATTTATCATTCATTCAAATGATTAAAAAGCTTTGGGGGCCACAATTATGAACAAACTTTTGCATATGAATGACATTAACATAGTATTCTTTTTAATTTCTAGGGGAAAACCACTATTATTCTACGGTCCCTTGACAGGTAAGCTTTAGGTTAACCTTTAGAGTCCCAAGTAAGATAGTTAATTCTTAGTGAATCCTTACTTAGTCTAGACTTTAAAAGAGCTTTTAAAGTTAAAACTAACAGTAAAAAAAAAAGCTCAAACCCATTGCTGTTGAATCAACACTGACTCCTAGCTCTCCTGCCAGTGGGTTTTAGAGGCTAGGAATCACATGCGAATAAGACTGACCATCTTTTTCCTTTGGTGAAAGAGCAACTTTTGCCAAAGAGGTGACTCAACTAACTCCTAACAGACTATGTTTCCTTAACTCCCAATAAACAACAAGAAACCAAAAATAATATATACAGGGTTTCTGTTTTTCGGCGGAAATGTTACCATATCTACCCAACTTAATAGTAGCAGTTATTTTCTTTTGTTGTTGTTATGTGCCATTGAGTCACCTGTGACTCATAGCTCTGTACTCTATCCTGAGCCAGTCTCATAGTCTGCGACATACCTGCTCCCTACTATTGAGTCTGTTTATTTATTTTTTCCCTAAATAACCCTAAAAATTGATGTCAGCTGAGACTCTGAATATTGCATTGGAGTGCCAAGAAGCCAAAGCTAAAGGAAGAAATCAAGAAATAAATTAAAGAGCTGAACAGAAAATTTCAAAGGGCAGCTCGGATGACAAAGCTAGATACTTTAATGAAATGTGAAAAGAATTGAAGGCAGAAAATCAAAAGGGCTGAACTCGCTCAGCATTTCTTAAGCTGAAGGAATTGAAAAACAAACTCAAGGCATGATACTTAAGGATACTTTGGGCAGAGTGATGAATGATCCAAGAAGCATTAAAAGAAGATGGAAGGAGTATACAGAGTCACTGTACCAGAAGGAATTGGCTGACACAGAAGAATTTCATGGAATAACTCCTGTGGTGATGAAGAAGGAAGTTCAAGTTGCTCTGAAAGAATTGGCAAAAACCAAGGCTCCAGGAGTTGACAGCATAACAATTGACATATTTCAACAAACAGACGCTGCCCTGGATGTGTTCACTAAGTTGTGTCAAGAAATCTGAAGGACAGCCAGCTGGTCAACTTACTGGAAGAGATTTATATTTGTTTACATTCCAAAGAAAGGTGACCTGACAGAGTACAGAAATTATGGAGCAATATCATTAATATCATATGCATGCAAGTAAGATTCTGCTGAAAATTATCCAAAAAACAACTGGAGCAACACATCAGCAGAGAACTGCCAGATGTGCAGGCTGTAGTTAGAAGAAGTCGTGGTACTAGAGATATTATAGTTAATGTTAGATGGATCTTGACAGAAAGCAGAGAATACCAGAGGAAGGTCTGTATGTTCATCATTGACTATGTAAAGGCCTTTGCCTATAAAGCAGAGAATACCAGGGGAAGGTCTGTATGTTCATCATTGACTATGTAAAGGCCTTTGCCTATGTGGATTGCAACAAGCTGTGGCTGACTCTGAGAAGACTGGGAGTCCCAGAACATTTTATTGTGCTTATGCAAAACCTATACTTGGACCAAGAGGCAGTTGTCAGAACAGAGCACGGACACATTGCATGGTTCAAAATTGAGAAGGGCGTCTGTCGGGGATGTATTCTGTCTCCATACCTTTTTAATCTATATGCAGAACAGATCATCTGGGATGGTGGGCTGTACAAGGAGGAATGTGGCATCAGGATTGGAGGAAGAGTCATCAACAACCTATGTTATGCAGATGACAAAACCAGCTTGCTGAAACTGAGGAGGACCTGAAGCGCTTGCTGCAGAATGTCAAGGACTGCAGCCTTCAATATGGATTGAAGCTCAACACCAAGAAAACCAAGATTCTCACCACCGGGCCAATTGGCAGCATCAGTATGGAGGGTGAAGAAATTGAGATAGTTAACAGTTTTAGTTTGCTTGGCTCCACAGTCACCTTCTTAGTACCAGCAGCCAGGAAATCAAGAGATGAGTTGCACTGGGAAAGTCAGCTGTTAGGGACCTCTCCAGAGTACTGAAGAGCAACGATGTCAGGCTGGAGACTAAGGTGCACCTGATCTGGGGCTATAGTCTTTACAATTGCATGCTATCCATAGGAGAGCTACACAGTGAGTAGGGGATGATAGAGAATTGATGCCTTTGAATTGTGGTGCTGGAGAAGAGTGTTGAATATCCCATGGACTGCTAGGAGAACAAACAGGTTTGTCCTGGAGACAGTGAGGCCGGGATGCTCCTTGGAGGCAAGGATTCTGAATCTTTGTCTGACATACTTTGGGCATGTTGCAAGGAGGGACTGGTCCTTGGAGAGGGACATCATGTTTGGGAGAGAGACGAAACAGTGCAGGAGAGGAAGGCCCTTGATGATGAGATGGATCGATCCAGTGATTGGGACAGTGGGAGTAGGTGTGTCGGAGACAATGAGGCCGGCACTGGATAGAGCAGCGTTTAGGACTCTTGTACATAGGGTTGGTATGTGTCACAAATGACTCAATGGACAAGACAACAACAAACCTTAAAAAAATAAATCTAGAGTCTAACTCGCGCAAGTCCAGGATGGAGGAGAACTTCCCTTGGATTTCCAAGGTTTTAAGTCTTTGTGGAAGCTGCCTGCCTCCCCTTTCTCCCTCAGAGCAGCTGGTAGATTCAAATGGTGAATATGTTGGTTAGCAGCCACATTTTAAAACCACTTGAGCATTACCTTTAAACTGTTAATGGGTTGTTTGTTTGTTTTTTAAGTTTGTCCCCAAGCTATAAATTGTATCATTTGTTTTATATGTATTAACTTCCTGTTAATGTCATAGAAGCATGCCCTCAGATGAAGATACAGGATTATAATTAGTAGATGTTAGAGGGATTTAGTCAGAAAAGTCTTCAACCAGTTTTTATTTTCCCCTTCATTCTAAATGCCTTATTTTCTTTGTCTTCTCTAAAAACATTGTTGCTGTTAGGAGCCGTTGAGTAGAGTATATAACCCATAGTGACCTGATAGCCTCAACCTGCCCTATTCTGCACCATCCTCATTCATTTCTGACACACTAGAGCCCTTTGTCACCAGTCCATCTTTTTGGGGGTGGTCTTTTCCTTTTCTGACCTTCCATCTTTCCCTTTCCAAGCATGATGTCCCTTTCCAAGGAATAATGTCACCTGCCTACATGTCCAAAGTATGAAATATGACACTTAGAGAGATGGAATTTCATCTTATGGCCATGGAAAGAGATGTATTATTAAAGGATATAAAAAATAGAATGCTTTATGTAATTCTCATTACTAACAAAACATCCTAGAGTGAAAGGTGCATTATTTTTCTGTTTCTTGGGCTCATAAGTCTCTGAAGACCCACTTCAAGATATATGTCCTATAAACAGGTCCCTAAATGGGAGGCAAATTTTTTATAAAGTACTTCACTGGACTGAAAATTCTTCATTTCAGTTCCTTGATAGTCTTCAGAAAAAGAGCAGTTCTCAGAATTGTCAATTAAAATTAAAATTAGTTCTTATAAATTTTGTCTTAAAAGTAGCATTTTGAACCAGACAAGAAAATTTTCATTCCTTTAGAATGTATAAACAAATAGATATATAGTGTATGTATGGGAAAGTTGTCTGTTAGGGACCTCTCCAGGGTACTGAGGA